CCCGCCGCTCTCCGCCCCGGAGGCAGGGCAGGGCGGCGGGAGGGCGGGCGTACCGCCGGGGCTGCGCTACAGCTTCTCTCCCCCGCCCCGAGTGGGTTTACCCACGCCCGCGGGCAGGCCGCGCCTGGTCCCCGGCAGCTGGGAGGGGCGTGACTTGGCCGAGGATTCACGGCGAGGCAGCTTCCAAGGGCTTGAACCGCTCAAGGTGCGACAGGCCACATCCTCACCCGAACTAGAGCTGTACCGGATAAAGCTGAAATAGCTCTCGTGGCTGCAACGCCTCTGTTTACGAAACTTACTGAAAAACGCAGTAGAGATGATATAGTACCTGCATCGGTACAGATAACCCTTCAAAAGCTGCTCGCTGATTCAATGGCAGGACCCACTCAAGCCACATTTGACAGGATTAGCCGTACCGCCTGTTTTTAAAAAGCCTACTCTGCTTCTGAAATATTTTTTTCTCTCTTAAAACAGCACGTTAGCTCAGCCTCCTGACGGGCAGTTCTCGCAGACGAGCCCTGCGGGCCGGGGAGCAGTTCTCCCCCCCCCGGCCTGCGGTAGGGCCACTGCAGGAAGCCGGCAGGTCTCCTGGGGAGCCACGGGGATGCTCAGGGGGCTGACGCAGAAACACCAAACACCGCAGAAACACCACCCCACGGGATGTAACAGAGGGACCAGCCCCCGGCCAGGCACGGGGAGCCCGGCGGGAGGCGAGGGCTCAACGCGTCGCAGTGCTGCGCAGTGCTCTTGGCGGGCCGTGCTCCCCCAACGCCCCTCCCCGCCAGGAGCCAGCTACGCAGGCAGAGGCGACCACCACCAAACCACCGCGCAGAGCGGCCTGTTTAAGAGACACCGGCTCCTTGCCCAGCCTGACTCCGTAGGGAAAAAACAGCTTCTCCTTGACGTTAAACACGGAGACGGGAAACACAACCAGGCGGCTCAGGCTCACTCACCCCCCCCTCCCAGCCGCCCCACGACAGCGGCTGGAAGAAAATGGCGGCGGGGGGGCCCCGCGCGGCGCGACGCG